AAAACAGAACTACAACATTAAAAGTGTTGGTAAACTAACTGTTCTAAGAGGTTGACCAATTTCTCGAAGTGCTCTTGTGCCACACTACCAGGCTTTAATAGATACACCTGTTTTATTTTTTTCCAAATAGAGCATCATAAATGGTACAAGGAACTATATATAAGTATCAATTCAAAAACTCTGCAACATAATAGCCATAGTTTTTTATCTTACAACCGATTTTGCAATGGCCTTTGCTGGAGTAACTGTCTTATTGGAGAACAAGAACCTTGTATTTCTTGGTACGTCCACAGAAAAAGGATAAGATCCACCTCCACTTGCCACAGGAACCTGAAGTGGCCAAATAAGTAATGGAGAAATTTAACACAAAATTAGAACAACAACAAAGCTGATTTAAAATTGAAACATACAACCAGCTCTAAGAGAACCAAAGAGCAACATGAAAAGAAGAATTAAGAAAAAGAAGGGAATGAAAGAATAAGAGCATAAGCAAGGAAAAGCATACAGAAGCCTTTATTATAGAAGGCTAAGATCAGCTTAAATTTTAACAGTTGTCTCTTATAAACAATTCTTGAAGAATTAATTTTAGTGTACTCATTAGCAAGTGTGTGTGTTTAGGAGCTTACAGCAACATTAACTATTTGCATACGAAGGATCGCTTCTTCCAAACCAACAAATAATAAGGATGAATGGCACTTGAAATATACACTCACCTCAAACATGTTTAGAAATCTAGTAAATAGTGTAGGTATGAAACATCCCCAGTTGATAAACTTGTAATTCTTCACTACACGAGCCATAACAGCAGTCCATTGACAGTTCCAGAATTGACAATTTGGTATTGAGTCCCAGAGTTCCATACACTCCCTAATCCAGTTACTGCCATGCCAAAAATTGGAAAATTAATTTTCTCAGAGGTACTTAGGTGAAAACAACAAAGTGACAGCCAGCAAATATATGTTCTTACTCTGAGAAGAAGTCCTGATTGTCCGCATTAGTAGGAAGGAACAGTCTCACAAATCCAGCTCCTTCAAAGGTTGCATTGTGCCATGGATTTTCCAAAAGAGATCTGAGAATATGTTAAAAAAAAAATTTAAAATTTAGTGGGCATTTAAAATATCTTAGCTACAATTAGCTAGAAGATAATTCTATTAGAGTTCTTGTGAGAACCATGAATACTAATGAAGAGGTCAATGAGGTCCCAATACAAAGAATGTAGTGACCCATTTGATTTCTTATTGGCTAGCCTCCTTTTAGCATCAAAATAGATAGATCTAATAGTATTAAAAATCCAGTATATATGGCAGATATATTGAATCAGATGGAATAGCAACTAAATTTTCTGTATAGACAGTTTATCAGTTTGAAATCAATTTAAAAAGAAGCCCAATAGTTCATGGAGAACCAAAATGGATCTCGAACTGATTGTGAAAACCTCAGAGCACTTGCCTAAACTCAGACCAAATCTCAGAGGCAGAACCAGCTGGAAAGAACCGCCGGCATGAGCGAACAAGGGAAGTAACAGTCTCAAAATGCCGCTGTCTCAATCTCCATCCTTCTGGGCCTGTATTCCTGAAAAATATACATAACCAAAGGACAAGCAGCATATAAAGTTCTAAAATAAGAAGACACAAATAAACTCGACACTTATTTCCATCATATTAAATTATTGAAGGACTTTTAAGAGGTCATGAAAGAGCAAATTATTTAGTTGAAATTTAAAGAGAGATGATTTATGGAATGTGTTTATGAAATCCCTTCCTCTAAGACAAGGATTTAAGTTCAAGACTTCACATCATAAAAGTTTAAATTGAGAACCCTGATGGCATGCCATCAGTGCTAGTTAAAATCTTACAATGAGTAAGGGGTACATTGGGGGGAAAGATAAAACAAAGCTTTTTGCTAACTTGTCATCTACCAATAATATGGATTCAAAAAGTACAAAATGAAACATGAGCATTCATAATATAGAGATTCATAGGAATTTCATAACCCTTTGTATCACAAAGGCAATGCATTTTAAGCACATGCCTATAACTAACCTTGTGAAATGCGTATGAATAATAGTATCATACAAAGGACGCCACTGAACTTTCAAGGACAACTTCTTTCGATACTTATTAAGCAATCTGACTACGATATTTCCCCATCTAACCTAATATGTAACAAAGGAACAATCAATTAGAAAAAGAAAAAGAATGACAGAAGCACAAATGAAAAGATTATTCTTCCTAGGATTCAATGTATCACCTGTGCATAAAGCTTGTTCTGTGATTTATGGAATAATTCTAAGCCAATCTCAACAACTGAATGTACATCTTCCAAGGATATATCACTTTTTGCCTTTATGAAACTGCAAAGCAATAAATAATAAGTCAGATTCAACATCCTGTAATCCACATTTTATTGGTACACAACACATAATCTACTTTGCTGAAACCGATTCTAATGCACTCATAACAGGTGATGTTTTATCATGTAACAAAAAGAAAAAGCACAACCATAGATACAAGTTATACTCTCTGCAAACATTTATGACAAACTCTACACTTGTATACATTCATAGACATAATACTGAAATCTACAATAGACTCGTGATACCAAACTCAACCAAGGGCTTTAGTAATGGTATAGATGCTCCAGCATTGGTGTCTACGCGACATGATGTCCTCTTATGTAGAGAAAACCAAAATCTCTAGCTAACGGGTCAAGCATAGAAAGGTACATGTCAAAATAGCAGCCACCAAATTCAGCACCCATAGTATGTTCCACACACGGTCCACCACCTATCTCTCACCTCTATTTTGCTCATTGGCAGCAGACATGCATGCTACGTGCTAACACACAGTTAGGATAGGACTTAAAGAAAATTGACTCACTAAGTGGAGAAATGGAGAGCTCAGTCTATATTGGATTTTCAGGTTTTCTATATCCAGTGCCTGCCACCCTGACTGCATTTAACATGGTTCCAATTGCACAAGTGATTATAAGGCTCCATAATCACGGTAAACGACTATGAGACACCACTGGACATAAAATAGAGGTCACGATTAGTTCAGGACCCACAGCTATAGTAATACCCTCCTCCTCCAACTTTCAATACCAAAAGTTCCAGATTGAAGGTCTCAATTAAAATCTAAGTTGCAATCACTACATATCTCTTCCAGCATGCTGCAAGCATCGGTCTCAGGTTCCATGCTATCTACCTTAACAAAACTCCATGATCAGTCAAAAATCCATCAAAAATAAAACTTAACTATCTATATTGGGCAGCTAAAATTTTCAGAAAAAAGCCACCCTTTGAACGGAAATTCAACCAAATTCAAAATTGGAACTGAAAAATGAAGTGCCCAAATAACTTTCTTCACAAAAAGATCAAAACTTGACACCAAAAATCAATGTAAAAAAAGAAAGCACATAAAAGGCAGGCGATTAGAGAAAGGAATTAGAGGATTACAGGTCGATAACAGAGATCGATTTGAGAGTGGAGTAAACGGAGTCCGGGTCATCGGGTCGATAAAGGTCCTTGAGAGAAGAAACGACCCGAGAGAAGGATTCCTTCTCCTTCTTGGTCGCTTCTGCAACGGGTGGGGGCAGCCATGCATTGTAGAGATGCATATCTGAATTCCCAAGTCTGAAGCCAAGATGGCAGCTTTTTTTTTTTCTGTTTTTTGGTTTCGAATAAACTGTGAATTCTGATCCAAACAAAAAGAAGTGAGAAATGGAAATAAAGTAGGATTGAATTCGGGTGTCTGGAAGAGTATTTATAGTTGCTGTGATGCGTTGCCTTTCCTTTTTCTTTTTAAACAAGAAAAAGAGATTTTTATTTGGAGTTTCGTGGGGGAGGGGAAGGGGGGACTGGCCGAGGCTGACGATGATATTTTTCTGTTTCTGACTTTAAGCTTTTACATTTTCTTCTAATTATATACTATTTATAGGGAGGTTGGTGAAATTCACTTACTGTAGCCAAAGATTGGTTTTTTTTTTTTTATTATTTTAAAAAATCTTGGTTTATAAGTGTAGAGTCTATAAACAGACTTGTTGATTAAGATATGGAACTGACTGGGGAAGGTTGTTTCTTGTTTTGCTATTGACTATTCTCCTTTACAGCCAGAAGCGATAGGGGGAGGGGTCCTTGCGCTGACTGCTAAGCGTGTCATCCAAGTCCATTGAAATGAATAAATCTAAGAAATTTTGTTGGCAGGGGCCCACGACTTGAGGCAGGCTAGGCTTTCTTTGCACACACAGGATACTTGGGAAAAAGCCTCCTTAGCTAACTCAGCTCTGACACTGACTCCACAGTCTACAGTCCACAGATTTTTTGTGTTTAAGAGAAGGATCTTAAAACAATTGAATTGAAAACTGATACAATAATAATAATAAGTTGTTTTTCTCCTCATGCGATGATTTCATGAAGAAAAATCTAATCCGTAAAAGTTGTTTCTTTTTTTTTGTTTCTTTTGCATATGATATCCACTTTGGGTTGAACGGTCGGAATAGCAAGGAATGATTCTGCATATATATATATATATATATATATATATATCACCCTGCCACCAAAAGAAACATGAAATGAAATAGACTCGACTGCTATGTCAATTTATGGATTTTTTTTAATTTTTTTTCTTTTTCGTTGGAAGTGCTTGGAGGAATACTCCCAAAGTAGAAACTAGAAAGAGTCCATAGCTTTGCTAAAATCAGTTGTTTTTTATAAACAACCATGGCCGTTTATTTCCCAGACTAACCACAAAAAAAAAAAAAAAAATAGATTTTTCTATTAAAATACAGACCTTTCCTTCAATTCAATTAGAATTTTGGTCTTGCTCTCTTGTCAATTTGGGCTTTGTATTTAAGAGGCTTTGTAGAGCCCAAATAAAAGAGGAGTGACCGTTACAAATATGAAATGTGATTTACGGAAAGAAAATCTGACCGTTGGAATGTCAAATATTACCGTTATCAGTCTTGAGTCGTTTATGGCTAACCAATTTAAATATCTCATTTGCCACAACAAAAATGCAATCTAATCTGCAAATCCTCAATCTCTCTATTTACTTCTTCTCCTGTTTTCTAATCCTAATACAATCATCAGTGTTCAATTTTTTGTTTCCTCTGCAAATATAGTTTTTATTTTTCTGTCATGGCTGAAATGAAAGATGCACACATCGTAGAAATCCCAGTAGATGAAGAGCATCAACAGAAGCTCTCATGTGCTTTGGACACAATCACAGCAATCCGAAACCATCCACTCATGGAGATCTCTCAGAGTCCAGGCCATCTTTTGCTTCTCAAGTTGTGGCAAAGAGAGGAACATCTTTTTGCCCGCAGAATTGCTCTTAAAGAATCTAGACTGTACTCTATCAAAAGAGAGATTTTTCAATTTTGTTGTTTCTTTTTTATCTTTCATGGGTTTTTCTTCAACATTTTGTTTACATCTTCTGTTAGTGCCAAAGAACACCACACTTGCAAGAAATGGTGGATACCATCCATTGTTTCAGTGTCGACTTCACTTGTGTTTGTGTTTCTGGTTCAGGTTAAGCTTTACAGGTACTGGAAAGTTTGGAGGCAGTTGCAGAGAGAGAGAAACGATAGCAGGGCACTTACAAGATGCATTCAAGAACTGAGGATGAAAGGGGCAAGCTTTGATTTGTCCAAGGAACCTCACATTGGGAGGAGGATGAAGAGCTCCAGCGTTGAAATCAAATGTAAACCTCTAACATGGTGCTCTCAATACCTGATTACTATTTGTCTTGTTTGCGCTTCAGGTTTGGTATTTCCAGGCTGCAATTTCATTCTCTGTGGATTTTAATATTATGGCAACGGCTCCATATTCACAAGATAAACTTGGAAGTTGAAGAAGGTAATGGCAGTACCCATTACCATTTAGATTCAAATAATGTCAATAGATTTTTCTGTGAACTTGTGGTAATTTCAACAATGGAAACGATCTTTGCAGGTTGTTTTGCTTAAGATTGCAACAGAAAAGAATCATCAACATGAGTAAAGGTAAATTGCATCGACAATCCTTGAAGAAATTTTGATACCAAATGGAGGCTTTGTAGGGTTCTGATTCCATTCATTTGTAAGAGGTCTGTAGATCTCTCTTGGCTTTCATTGGAGAATAACGATGTAGATGGATGCTAACAGCCGAATCCCATTTGACTTTTAATTGGGGATGAAGCATCTTGGTCCGATAATGATTAGATAAACCTTTTGGAGCTATGAAATATGACTCAGAACTCCAGATAAACAGTGTTTGTAGTGGCGCTTGTGTGTCTGAGGTGATACATTCAGCTGCTATTCCTCAGTTTCAGAGCACGAAAATATTTAATCCTAGAGCAGCCCAGAGTTTGGGATTGTTGAAGAAAGGAACCATTTAAAAAGATCTTGTAACATGCCGAAATGCCTATTTCCTGTGAGATGGTTTTGATATATATATTCTTTGGCAACACAACTTGTGTGCTCAATTTTTGCTGTACAAGAAGTTCTTCTATTCAATTCAAATGAAAAAAAAAAAAAAAAAAGAAGAAACCCACCCTTCATTTTTTTATCAACTTGTATGTAGCCACCGTAGAGCATCAAGCAAAATTTCCCTAACTATTTGCTCACCAAGTTCCATTTTTGTTCTTTATTCATTGTCTCCTCCACTCAATTTGCAAAAATTCAGTTTTGCAACCTTAACTCACAAATGCATAAGTTGGTTTCGCAGAGAAAATGCTTTCAACTAGAACTATAGAAGAAGGACTACAGTAATATGCTTTCAAAGCCAATATCCGAAATATCCTTCATCAGCTGAATATTTGCTCGTCTCCTGCATAGGTCATATAGCTCGGCAAGGAATTTGATGCACGGTTCGTCCAGTGAATGCAATATTTTTGACTAACTATTTTATAGATGTATCCTACAAGGAGGAAAAGCCAATGTAAGGAAGTCCAAATACATACTATATCAATAAATAGGTCTTCACAGGCAGAAGCAATATAGTCTCCCAAGTAATTGAAGCTTATTGTCCGGACAGGCCACCAACAGGACATGAATGGTTATTTCATGCCCATGACAAATATGATTAAAGTCTCAACCTCAAATACATAAAAGCACAGATATATGAGATCAAGGAATTAAAATATAAAATTATGAATTCAGGTGCAACTTACTCAAGCTTTGTAAATGTTAGCACACAAAGCATCTCTGATATATCTCAAAGGATGACTAAGGAATCAGCACTCCCAACAGCAAAATATCTACCACAAAAGAGTAACATTGGATTTATTGGAAACCTATATCCACTCCATGGAAAAAAAGAACTCATTGAATACCCCATATTAAAAGAACAAAAATGACCTTACATGTATGAATGTTGTGACAAATTATAAATGTTAAAGATATAGATTATAAAATATGATATATGCATATGGATATATGAGGGTGGGCAACCAACAATGTCAAGATGCAACAAAGCTTAGAAACTAAGATTTAAACCAAACCTTCCTGTGGGTTCAATTGCAATGCAGTAGCAACCAGCTGTGTAAGCCATAAGGGTGTCAACTGGTCTAAGTAATGGATATGCAAGTACTTCAACAGTACCTGAGAAGAACATTCAACGTATAGAACATAAACATCCTATAATTTAAGGAGTAACAATAACAATTTTTGAATCAAAGAGAAAAGTGTAATGGCTAAATAAAAATTGTTCTAACCATTTCCAGTCGTCAAAAATAACATATCTCTTGTCATGTTCCAAGCAATTTCTTTTACCTGGAAAAAGAAATGTATGACTCAATGAATTTATTCATCCATTTACTTATAAATCTTAGGTACCAATTTCTAGATTGATATGATTAGTTTCAAAAAGTTAACTGAGACAAGGCCAAAAAATTTATGATATTTGGCATCATTAATGCCAACTATGTATTACGTGAATGCCATTTAAAGCTGGTTGCTACTTTATAATTGTGAAGGCAGTGTTCTATGTAAAAGTTAAACAAAGGAGAACTGAAGCACTAGTGCAAATAGCAATATGTTTTCCAAAACCCTCATTTTGAAGGGTGATTAAAACTAACAAAGGAGAGGAGAGCAAATTGGTATGAACTCAAAAATGCCTTGTAATTAAACTTGCGTCTGTGAATAGGCTTAAATTTCCAAACATCCAATATTGTTAATTCATCATCCTACAGTAAAATAAAATAGAGTAAGATCAATGATAAAAATAATTTATTAGCATGATAAAAAATGAAACAGAAACTGCTCTTCTGCTAAGAATCTAGCATGCGTAAAAACTTCAGACGTCACTGAAGTGCTGAAGTGCTCCAAGTGACATAAGACAGTAAGACATACCCTATTACCAACAGCAATGTGTGTCCCATCAGGTTTATAGGTGATGTTTATATTCTCCCCACTAAGTTCTGCTTGCTGTGAGCACTTTCCACCTGCAAAAGCTGAAGCAGGCAAAGGTACACACCTATCTGATGATTGACATCATAATTATTTATTTAGTTAGCCTCCAATAAGAAGCTTTCATTCAGACTCAACGAAGAGTGCATAATATTCAACAAAAGAATTGTGGCTGAGCTGCATGAAACTATAGTTGTCTTTCCCTCCCCTCTCCAGCATTCTAAACAATAATGCAAAAGAGCATTCACTTACCGCGAGCATCCCACAAACGAACAGTCTTATCACCAGATGCAGTTCCTATGAGATCAGCATGTTTAGGGTCCCAACATAGTTGATCCACACTATCTGTGTGACCCGTCAATTCAATATCTTTAGCCTTACCCTGCACCAGACATTACAAAATAACCATAAGAACTTTACTATTAGCAACATAACATTATTAAATTCTAATCCAATATGTCAACCGCATTCTTAAGGTAAGTTAACATACAACAACGTGAATTTTAGAGGAGAGAGCACTCAGAAATATTCGAATATAATGTCAACAATCAAAATTCATTTCAGATAAATTTTGCAAAGTTAACCATCCTTATGGTGAAGACACAATGAAATGGTTGGATGCAACAGACTATATGTTATTGAGACATCTAAAAATGCCCGTATTAGTGTATCCTAAATGCAAAAGCAAAGGATACCCATAAATAAAAACTACTAAACATTAGTGTTCTGATAATAGCCTCACTCAAATCCCCCACAGATTCCTTTGCTCCCTTGGTTTGCGTGGATAAACGAAAACTAGCCAGAAACAGTGAAGAACGTAGAAAATTAGGAAAAAGGAAAGGGATATACATGTCCGTGAGGCTCAACATGCCAAACTCGAGCGGTTTGATCGACAGAACCGGAAGCAAGCTTGGTGCCTGTGCAATTGCAGGCCACAGAATGCACCTTTCAACAGAGAAATGAATTAACTTGATATGAATAATAATCTTACGAAAGGGAGAGTAAAAAGAAAAGAAAAAAAGTTGTTATTTTCTTTTTGTGAGCTTGATACTCTCTGCTAAGCAGATTCTTGAAAGGTATTTTGTCATCCATCTCTCTTCCTCTCTGGGGTTATAGCAATTTCTCTCCTTGTAGCAGAACAGAATCCTCTTTGTTTTGTGCAACAATGAAATAATAGAAGGTTATTTACGAGATTTAGAAAAATAAAAGGACCAATAAAGTAATTTTAAGTTTTTTTTTTTTTTATTATTTTCATATAACTAATCGTAATCGTAATACTGAGAGAGAGTAAAACTAATTTCAGAAAATAAAAATTGACATTACGTCAATAATTGGAGACGAAAAATAATATATATATATATATGTGTTGTGTGTGTGTGTAATAGTGGAATAAATTTAATTTATTGGTATTAAGAATTAAGTGTGAATAAAAGAAAAAAAAAGTAAAAAATGGAATAAAATCATAAAACTTTGGGTGGAAGCAGTAAAAGCAAGTCAAAAACAATGATTACACACTCACTGACCGCAAAAATTAAATAAAAATTAAAGCAAAAAACTTCCACCGACGCCCATTGGCCTAGGATAAAGAAATGAGATAGCTGGCACCACCACACGGTGCCAAACACACCTCCTCCTCTCTTTACTTACACCCATATATTAAAAAAATATAGATTTATATACACACAAACAACAGCCACCACCCTTCTCTTCTACTCATGACTTCATCGGCCGCTGGCGGTGGCAGATACATGGCCTGCTCTCCCTCGCCTTCCGCCCCTCACTCTCCTCACCTTTCTGGCCTTCGCTCCGCCGCCGCCCTCCTCGATCATGACAAGTATGCTCTCTCCTCTCTTACATTTATGTTAATCAACACCTTGCCATCTTCTCTGCTTACTTCTACTCCTCCGATCTTTCTCTTTTGCTTATCATTGCTTTGGTTAGTGTTAAACTTGTTTACTCACCTCACTTGTGCCGTAATTTCCAAGATCTAGAGCTCCATCGTTCGTTTTCTGAGCTGATTATGCTTTTTGTTCTGAGTTACTGATCATGTTATGATTGTACTAACAGATCAGTTCACATTTTCGAGTCGGTGAAGTTCTAGTGGTTTGAAGCTTTCATTGTGTTGTATGCGGGGTTTTTTTGAGGTTCAAGTTGTGATCTGGGAATTGTTGTATTGAATCGAAGCTAAATAACTGTGGATTGTGTGCAACTCTCATTGATGACTCTGTTTCCGCTTAACTTTAACGTCACCTTTTCACAGTAGTTGGAGATTATTCTTTTGTTTAGATGTGTTAATCCACAATTGGGTGATGGTTTTTATTTGAATTTTCCTTTTTGCAGATATCTCGCGGACTTACTGGCAGAGCGTCACAAGCTTAGTCCATTTATGCCAGTGCTCCCTCATACCTATCGGTTGTTGAACCAGGGTGAGTTTCTCGAATTGGCAATCTTCTTTCTTCTCAAAGGATCGTGCAGAGCAATGTCTCCTTCCCTCTTTTTTGTCATTAAAACCACAACTTAAAGCTAACTGTTAACTGACAAATAACTGTCTAGAAATGATAATTAGGGATCAACCCACTAACACTTAACTTTAGCACTAAATCTCCTGTCAATAGCTTCTATCTAGAGCTAATATCTACTAAATCATTATCAAGTTGGGGCTGCCTGCAATTTAGAATCCTCTACGGAAGGCTTGCTTACATTTTCTTTTCTTTTTTTTTTCGTGTAGAGCAATAATGATACAGCAGAAGCTATGGTTCTAAATAAGTTTCAAAAACCAATAGGATGAATCTTTCATGAACCTCGGTAGCTCCTCTATGTCACACCATATTATTAGACATATCTTAGGAGGCAATAAAGGGAATGATAAAGAAGAAAGAAAAGGTTTCTAGTGCAGTCCTAAGAGAAAAGAAGAGAATGGAAACAAAGAGGGAGGAAAAAGGAAGGTTCTGAACCTCACTAATGGTGAGGGAGGAAGTTAAGGATATGAAGAAAGAGGTACAGAGGGAAAGCCAGTGATTCTACTGGTATTCATCTTGGGGAGCAGCCAGCCTATGGTGGGTTTAAACAAAATTATTAATATATAAAAAATGTTAGGTTCTCAACTGACAAATGCAAAAGTGTAAAAGATATTTTAAAATTTACTGAAATTTTAATTAATATATAAAAAATGTTAGGTTCTCAACTGACAACTTCCTGTGCTTTTTTGTATTCACTTGTATGATTTCAGATTCTAACAGTGCATTGATTCCTCCTTGGTTTTGCAAGATTCTCAGTCAAATAATTCTTTTTTAATTAATATAAAAATGTCTTTTATTGGTGTATAAATAAACCAAATTAGAATTTCACTGCATCTTTCTTTTCATTTCATACCAGAATGCATTCAACTGGAAGAGTTGCTTATTTTATGAAGGAAGAGTTGATATTTAACTGACTAAATTAACATTCCGTGTAGTCTCTCCATTTTGCGGTGACTGCTAACTGATTTATTAACCACTAACTGGTACATCTTATTCTTGAAAATGACATTTTTGGAGCAGAAATTTTGCGTGTAACTACACTGTTGGGGAATGCATCAGTTTTAGGTCAAAGTGGGCTTGAACAAGCTAGCCCCCTGGCTTCTGGAGGAATATTTTCAAATGGAGGAGCCGATATGAACGGATGGACGTTTCAATCAGAAGTATGGATACTAACCATTAACATAACTCTTTACCATCTAATTTTACTGCTTTTAGAGGTATTGCTGACTTAATATTTTATTACATTTCTTGCTAACCTAACCTTTATTTGACTTGTAGCTTGCATTGTGGTTTCTCTTATTACAGGCAGTCTGAGGCTAACATGAAGAAGTTCTGAGAACTAGTTTTAGCTTAGAAAATGTTTCAGGCTGTTGCTTCTAATTATATAACTCGTTTCTCTGGCCTTAATTATTGTCAAGATAAAATCAGATATGCAGGGGATGACAGTTTGTCATAATCTTATATGGTTTTAAAATGCAGTTTCTGTTAGGATGGAAGCCTGAAATGTGGATCAAGTCTGAGATTTTGCACATTAGGAGTTCTGATAAGAGGGCTATTCTTTGAACTGTGTATTTTATTGCTGACTTCAATAACTAAACGGGCATTTTTTACTCCCCCCAAAGTGGTTTCCATGATTCCAGCTACCTGTTTTATATTTGTGGAAATCATAGAAGCTGCTTAGATGGTTTCATCTGATCCCAAGAACTTGATGCTTGCGTGTGTTAGTAGGGGCCAAATTCATCTGGAAAATCATATGTTACTTCTTTTAGTCTTGGTAGTCCCTGAATTTCAGTTTTACTATATTCTTTGTCGGAATGATTTTTTTTATTTGTTCAAGTTACTTGTCTTGAAATGTCTTTCAGGAATTCATGGTGCATTTATAAAGAATGGGTCTTCTGTTCCCTAATCTTATCCATGCCATACAATGGAAGACATTTGCATTAATCCGTTGCTATGGTTTTTTTAACAAAACCTGGAATATTATGGTGCAGATTTCAGGTTTAGTACAGCCCTCTTCGGCACAGAACTGGCTGAGTTCTCAGGGTAGCTCTTCTGGTCTTATTGTTAAGAGAACAATCAGAGTGGATATTCCTGTCAACAACTACCCTAATGTATGAATGAACTCCTGTCCTAGCAGTGATTTTAGAAATTTTCTTTTTCAGCATCTAAAATAATTTAATGTTGCAGTACAATTTTGTTGGCCGCCTCCTTGGTCCTAGGGGCAACTCGCTTAAGTGTGTGGAGGCAAATACAGAGTGCCGTGTCCTGATAAGAGGGCGGGGCAGTATTAAGGATCCAGCTAGGGTAATAATGATCCTTTTCTTTACATCTTTCTGAGTAGTTATAGCTTTGGAAAATTGCTTATCATAGTTCAAAGATTTTGATGAAGGTGAAACCTATGAATCATGGAGCCTTAAACATTTTAGCAGTTCCCAATATGCATAAACTTCAATGAATTAGGTCTTGATTTAGTTCTAAAGAAGCAGCATACCTGATCTTGAATTTTCTGTACTTTTTGGTGAATGCAGAATTCTCTCTCTCACTCTTTATATGGATATAAATGTGGTAATGTTGTCTTTTAAAATTGTGAAGGAAGAAATGATGAGAGGAAAACCTGGGTATGAACATCTGAATGAACCTCTACATATCCTAGTCGAGGCAGAATTACCTCTTGAAATAGTTGATGCTCGCCTAATGCAGGCACGGGAGATACTTGAAGATTTGCTCAAGCCTGTGGTGAAGTCAAATTTCCTTCTCTTGTGATAGTATTAGTTTATGTGTTTATTAGGTATCATGTAAATATGGTTTTTATTTTTTAAAAATAGGATGAGTCCCAGGATTTCTATAAGAAACAACAGCTGCGAGAGTTAGCAATGCTGAATGGTACACTTCGTGAGGAAGGTTCTTCCATGTCTGGTTCTGTATCCCCCTTCCACAACAGCCTTGGAATGAAGCGAGCAAAGACTAGAGGGTAAAGGATCCCTACATGTGGGCTATTGGAGCTTGGGTCTCAGTGTCTGCCATAAGACAGGCAGGTTCCCTGACATTGCAGGTATTGCTGTGTCAGTGAATGCCTCCAACTGGTGTCGGGGCACTGGCACAGTTGTGTGCTAATTCAGTTCTAACTTGCTTGTGTCTATATGAAGTGTGTTTGTGTTGTGTTTGGGAGAGGTTAAATGATGGTATCACACAGTGAGGAATGGGTTGCATTTGCATGTTGGTTCAGGCAATAGCTCTCTAAAACTGTGCGTGTATTATAATTAGGTCATATATTATAATTAAGCTTGAAATGACAGTTTTGATATGAGGGAACCTATATATGTGAGGAAGTTAAGGTATGATTGTATACGGTGAACGCGAAGTCAGGTGATTTTATTAAAATGTCGTATGGGTTGGAGTGTTTTGTGTTATCAAATTGTAGATTTGCACTTTTAGATATTACAAATATTAGTACTGAGTGTGTGTGTGTGTGTATATATATATATATATATATATATATATATATATATATATGTATATGTGTGTGTGTGTGTGTGTGTGTTATTGAAGGCATTCTTTCCTTTGTTAGTAAATGCGCTTTGCTGCCTCTGCAACTGGTTCTATTCCCTTTTCCTCTCTTCCTTGCCCTTTCTTTCGCTGCATTCATCCATCATCATATAGTTTGGGGATTTTATTATTTGAATCTGAAAATTGGCTTCAATCTCCTTTTAATTCTAAAGTGATATTAAAGGAAAAGCTGTTTGTGTGTGTGTGTGTTGCCTACCATTAGGTATTGTTGGAGCAGAGCATGTAGTGGATTTGCCAAAATGAAAGGATCGGATCGGATGCATCATGTTTTGATTAGACTAAATAAAAAAGCTGAATATAATTTTACAGACTAAACATTGTGCTTATTGGAAAAGTTTTGATTTATGTATTTGTTTAAAAACTTAAATGGAATTCTTGCGCAAATTAAGAATCTAAAAATTTTGAGAAACAAACCTCTTACTGTGCACAATTTCACATCTAGCTAGTCGGCAGGGCATATTATTTGAAGCAGATTCAACATCCATTCAAGGAATGACAGCCAACAAGCTGTTATTGGTTCATCAAAACTCAAAACCAAACTACAAGAAAGGCCAGAGTTGTTTAATGGTCAAAGCATGATACAACCTCCTTCATCTTATTTTTAGACCATTTACAATGAAGATTTTAAAGGAATGCACACAACTCACTCTTATCCTATATGTTTCTACATCAACTTGAATATTCATATCATTATTGAAAAAAACAAAAAAAAAAAGACAGGATCAAGTAGGAACTTGAGTGCTAGCTAGCTACCAGCCATGACTCATGATAAGTATAGCTAAAGCTATATATATGTTGATTCAGATCGTCCCTTACTCTTCTTCATCGTCTTCCATGTCATCGATTCCAACCCAACTTGTAAATGCAAAAAGAAATTCCTTGAAATTCACCGATCCATTTTTATCCCAGTCCATCTCTTCTGCAAAATCACACAATACACTATGAGCCTGACTCCCATTCCTAAGTACTTTTGTTAATGCTATTTATATAAGTGGAGTAAAACATGAACTCAACAAACGGACATTCCTGGGAGATGAATCTATCTATGTCAGCAAAGTTATTAAGGAATCTTGGACGCTGTACTACAATCTTCTTCTGTCAATCCAAGCCATATAAATATATATATATATATATATGTATATATGTCATGTCTATGCTCTAAACCGACACAAGCGCCTCTTGCATGCCATTAAGCAAAATATACATGCATTTTTCTGCATAATTGTCTAGGCAAGTAAGCACCAAAATTCACATGTTGACATGTGAATTTGAGTTTGGGTAAGCATTTTCTTTCTGGTATACACAGAGAGAGAGAGAGCTGACCAAATCTTTTCATGGCTATTCGTCCAGATGAACGCTCCCCGGATTCAGTTATGGCTTGAACCATCTCGTTCTTGCTAACATAACCATCCTTGTTCTTGTCCAAAAACACAAATGCATCAACCAAAGTTTCGAAAGTGGCCTCCAAATTTGGCATTCCCATTCGTGATTTCTAACAATGTCATGGAAGACCAAGATAACAGACCCACAAAGTCAAACACAATCATATTAAGTGTTATAGGGATGTATACCTGCTACATCTGACTCTTAATTTTAGGTAGTTAAACTTTCAAGCCATCGCACCAAAGTTCCAGATTCATCTCAGGAGTCTAGAACCTTTGAAGCTTATAATGGTACTTTTTGTATTGATGGATGACAAGAAAATGTTTTGGAAAAATTATTGTATGAAATCGGCAGAACAGGACTCATGGTACATTTAAAACAGAATTCACAAGTAGTAGGGCATTCTGGTGAGAGGAGGATGAATGCCATTGATTGTTCTCTAAATACATGGGAATTCTCACATGAAAGGAACAGCCAAATAACCTTTAAAAAAAAAACAGTTTACACCATCAAAAAGGCATGTGGTATATGAAACACACCACATCAAGGTAAATTTTCCAGGACAGTTAAATATCACTTAGAGAATGACTTCTACCTATCAGAAAAATGCAACAAACACGACCTTAAACGTAAACACAGTGAATCAAGATTTGTGTTAAGGATACAGCTTCAAGTGCAGTAGCATTATCCTTCAGCAGATAGACAAGGCAAAGAACTACAATAAACTCGTTGAATTTTATTCCCCTATCCTCATTGATATCGCATGCCTTAAACAGATCATTTATCTCCTCCTCTGTGAAAGAAACTTCAAGCTTGTGGAAACATTTTTTCAGCTCTTCATGGTCAATTGAACCATTTGAATCCTCATCTACAAAGAAACGCAATGGAAACATGCCTCTCAAAATATTATGCATAAATAAACAATCATTGGATGAAGATTTCAACATAAAACTTAATTGATTCACTGCAATAACCATACATATGTCTCAGTTCAGACACAGAAATGCAATGCGTATTTCTACAGGGGATTAACAAATTCATGTTTAGGGTCATGAAATGATCATTAGGAATACTCATCTCTAATTGTACAACACTTATATAAAAGGGATAAAAAGGGAATATACTTACCAAACTGCTCAAAAATACCTTTGCACTTCCTTAAGCTCTCATCAATTTTAGGGAATTTTAAGATTATGCTGTTGAAGGATTTCATTGCAGTTCCTTCAGATGCCCTTCGCTGCATAGCTTCAACCATTTTAGCTTCTAGTTTTGTTTCTGCTACCCACATCATTTCAGATGATTCACCCTTTCCCGCTGCACCTCCCATTTCCAACTATCAGTTCGACACAGGAGACCGGCTAAATATTAGCCTGCCCACACAAGTACAAAATATTAAAATTTACTCAAGCCATCTCATTGTAGAAAATACGGAGTAAGTTCTGATCCCTGACAATATCAATAATCCAGGATATAAAGCAGCTACAACATATATTTGATATGGTACAAGCCCAACTTGAGATCAGAGATCAGAGATCAGATATTTGATGAGCTATCAACAGCTCTTCATCTATGGCTCATGGCTGAGCAATAAATCGAGTAAAAATGCAGCCTCGGCCTCAGACATATAGCATCAAATATGATTGGTTAACAAGAAAATGAAAGACCAACTGGATGGCAGTCAATGATCCCATGATTAATTACAGGACAAAAAGCAGTAGGATTGATTGATCTCAAGAAAAAAAAAAAAAAAAACAAACAAAAACAAAAATAATTCTATTCCAAAAAGAATAGGAAAGGCAAAAAAAAAAAAAAGAAAGCAGAAGCACTCACTTGGAAGAAGTAGGGACTTCAAAAGCAAACCAGGATCCTTTTCAGCCTTCTGCTACCAAAACCCAAACGGAAAAGGCTGGAATTCAACCAACTAGAGAATAAAGAAGAGTTCAGCTCCCAAGTCCCAACAGCTAGCAAACAAGAAAAGCCAACTCCAGATAGGAAAATAAGAGATCTAAATTGATGTCAAACAAACAAAACAATCTGAGTTGTGAAGGGAGACAAAAGAGACAGATAAAATTAAGGAAGATGGAAGAAGAAGAAGAATAGAAGTCAGAGAAAAAAGAGGGAGAGTGTGGGGTTGGATTGTGTAGTTTGATGTTAGACTGAAGTGCTTAGAAACCAAGATTTATGGTGAACCCACCACGTCTTTTGTTTCATGACGGTTTGTTCCATTCCCAGGCCATTGTTGTGGTTGCACACTAACTATAAATTATCTGCGCTGACTTTTCCCACAACATGACAAATACGTCAGCCACCTTAAATAGTAACGCTATTATCATCATCAATTCATCATTCATCCATCCATCAAAGGGTTAGATTAGGTGTATATATAAACCAAATTAACATCTTCTGCTGAACATAGATTCCATCTTCATCGGTTCATAGATATATACAGACCTTATTATTATATGGACTCCCTCAGTCCCACATATAACGTCATTTTTTTTTAGCATAAAGTTTAAAAAAGTAGATGGCTCTAGATTAAATAGATGCAAAGGAAAGGAGATTATGAAGAAAGAAGGTTGAGCGATAACAAAAAGAAGTGTCAAAAGGTAAAAAAACATTGGAAGTTTCATAGCACATCTCACAACCTCATATATATAATTGCATTTTCTTAAAGCTGAAGAGCATTGTGTTGACAGCAATGTAGTAAGGACCAACCCTTCACTGCTAGACAGAGAGGTAAGGTCAAGGTTCAACACCAACATGAATAGTCCTAACAAGGTGCTGTGACAAATTAACAAGCAAGCATTCACGCGCGCCTGGTGCATGGTGGCTTCCAAACAAATTTTTCATGGTCCCTCAGCTGGGTTAAATAAAAAATGGCTAGGCAGCACTTCTGATCTGTGGCACTCAAGATTCTGGGGCAAAAAATAAACAAACAGAACACAGAACCTAAGAGTAATTGGATTTGATGCAGTACTTGTTTAGGGGCTGAAGACTGACGTTGCCGAGGACAAGCACTTGTAAATTGGTGAGCTGATCTCAAGCAACTTTGGCAGCAGTGCTCATGACATCTGATCAGCTTCAATATTTCAGTCAAATTGTAAAACATGGGAAAATCAAGCTGGGAGAATAGCAATGTGCATGGAAGAAATTAGGGAGCAATTCATGTAGAAAACACTATGGAGAATAGCACAACAACCCTTCCTCTCTTGAGGCATCTTTGACTTATAGTTCAAAATTAAAAAAAAAATGAAGTCGAATTCTAATTATGATGTATAACAGTCAAGAATGAACTACTCTTTGTTTAAATGAAAAAAAAAAAAAAAAAAAAACCCTTTAGCTTTGACAGAATGGGTATATTATCATGGTAGAAAACTGAAAAAAAATAATTAATAGACATATAAGTTAACCTTCAAGGAAGTTACAGATAAAGTAAGAAACTTCTGCGTTTTTTTTTTTGGTCAGTTTAGGAAAGCAGATAGATTAATAAAGAGAACGGTACATAGTAGTTGCAGCAATAATAGCCATGATTAAGGGCTGCAGAAAGCTGGGCGGTTCAACATGCATGACAAAATAAGGGTTTATGTCATTTGCGATGTTACAAAAGTTGCAAAAGTTCCCAATACTCTAGGCTGCTTCACTGCCTTTCCTTGCCAAAGCGTCCGCACATTTGTTTGCTTCACGAAAGATACGAGCAACCTTCCTCTGTGGTAGTTGGTTAAACAGTGTTATGCAGGCAACAATAAGAGGATCCAGAACATGGCTAGTGTGTGAGTCAGGGGCAGTGATGAGGCCTATAGCAACCTTGGCATCCAGTTCGATTTCAGGGTATTTAATATGCTTGAAGATAGCTAGTGATAAACCATCCCTGAGTGCCCAGAATTCAGCTTCAACACTTGTTGCTCTACCAATGTACCTGAGTGAGCTAGCAATCCAGGATCCATTATGGCCTCTGATAATAGCGCCGCCCCTGCTTTACCAGGGTTACCAATGGAAGAGCAATCAGTATTAAGTTTGAACCATCCAACATTTGATGGGTTCTATTTGACGGTACAAAGGAGGGGAGGTTGCTTAATGAAACAAAATATATATATGTATATATATCCACATATATGTATATATATATTTATATATATATATATATATACACACACATGCACCACCTCTTTTGGCCTACTCAAACCCCCAACATTAAGTTTTTAATTTACTAGCTAAATATATCTTTCAGTTCTGGTAGTCTAGGAGGGGGAGACTACACTTCTAGTAAATCAAGAAAAGAGTAATAATAGAGGTATATCGTGCATTTAATAATTAGTAAACTCGTAGGTTTCTCTTATAAACCCTTAAGATAGATACCATGAAACTAGATAGCTTTTAGGTTCTAGCTTCTACTTTAACTTTTTTATTATCTCAATCCTCATAATTTCATAAGTGACGTTCGAACATTTCCAGTAAGGATTCTATTTTTAGTACTAGAAAACATCGGAACCTCTGATCACACCTGAGACTCCTGAGGGATTAAAGCGTTCTAAAGTTGATGCCGGGGTTAACCGTCCGCCTATCGACAATCCTTCCGCTGTGAGACAGAAGAAAGATGAGAGGAATACATCCTGACTTCTGGGTACGTCGGAAACCTCTGAACATTAGACTACTACAAAACAGACTTAAAGTATAAGATGTTCTGGTGGTGGCATGTACTTTTTAGTTTAATATAGGTGGGCGCTCTGGTTGCCCAGGTCAGGGTTTGGAAAGGTAGTTGTACAGGTCGGATCGGGGCGGTACTTAGTCAAGGAGCTAGCGTGGGTCTCCTCTCCGGGTCATGCAATTATTTATGTGCCCTAGGTGATGTGACTACAGGTGGTAAAGGTAGGCCCCAGAAATCGATTATTCAGTTCCCAAAGCAAAAAAAGGTCACCGCTTTTCTATTGGATCCGCTGGGCATGACGAGGCTATTGCGAATAAGGGTGCGGCATTTCAGGATCAAACACCTTATTCTTTCAAGCAAGCGTTCAAGCAAGAAGCTCTGGGTTAGAAGTACAGGGATTTAATGTCCGGGTTACGTAAAGTTAGGTCTTTTTCCGGGAAGGAAACCTACTCGTTATTAAGTAAAGCCTATTAAGAGTCCTATTCATAGTTGAGAGTGGTTTTCACACTCTGGATAAAAGGTATCAGGTCGGCTAAGCACTTGTTTTCGTAACGAACAGGCGTCAGGTCGGTATGACGAAGAAGCTAAGGAGGGCAATGCCACTCACCGAACCTCTGACGCCACCGTAGAAAGTCAAATCGAAATAGAATAGGAGACCTTGACTTTCATTCATTTACACACAAGATTGAACTCACTCTCACGACGGTACGCACCATGCCACGCTAGATATCGACATAACCCTTGGATCTTAAGCAATTGTGTTAGATCCGGGATCGATCTATTTTACTTGAGATACCCCCAAGTTTCTTATAACTCCGGGGCTAACAAGAAGAAAGGGATCTGCGGTGCTCTATAAGTGCTTGTTAGATGGGTTAAGACGTATTTGGCTTTGTTTCCGTTCTATACCGGGACCGAGAAGAAGATAAGGAAACAGGAAGGGAGTACTACCTATGCAGGGGGTAGCGCTTAGAATCCGACTTATAGAGGTAGGGATCAAGTCTCATTTGGATGAGTCAAGTTCCTGGGAAGTTGCTTTCCCATCCTTGTCCAGTAGCCATTCTGAGTGGGAGTAACGTTTGATAGTAGGACTTTAGAATCAGGAAGGTCACTCAATTAAGAAACAAGATACGACTTTCAGACTCGGCTGGAAATACAAGAAGGCGGACGTTTACCTATGGACCGGAAGGCTTAGCTAGCTGAGATGGGTAGGTAGCTCGATAGTTGAGGTGGCAACTATCCCTTAAACTTAAAAAAAGAGTACGAAGCTAAGGAAGTGGGCATGCCGGGGTGAATGAAGGTGGCTCCATACTGGGAATTGGGATTTGGATTGGGGTTTTTTCGTTTGGGACTTTAGGAAGGCAAGAGAAGACAAGACAGAAGGGAAAGAAAAGACAACAACCGATCGAAAGAAAGCCAGGAATAACAAAGCGGTCAAGTCCTTTTTCTATTCCTTCCCTTTATTGTGGGCCGGGAAGGAATAGAGGACTTGGGAATAAGAGAGGAGTAGTCCCTACTCTATTCCGGACCTAAAAGGTAGACGGTCCGGAATAGGGGACTACCCTTGACGAATCGAATAGCTTGAAAAGGACGTTACCCCCTCTCTCCCCCTCGGGGGGAGGATGAAGAAACACCTTAAAAAGCTATTAGTATCTTTAAGGCTTTCCTTCCTAGTTGTTTTTTCCTTCGGCTTTCTCCTTCTAGTTTATGTCTTCCTCTTTCTAACTTCTCGGGTTGTCTTTATAAGATCTCTATGGAACCGTAGCAGGACTACCTTAGAGAACTAAGAAAACAACTGAAAAAACTAAAAAAAACCCCCTTTTTAATCCCCCAGGTGGTGGACCGAAGCAGAGCTCTATGGTTTTTTCTTAAAGGGTTTAGTAGCTAAAAGCCAAGACAAGAAAAAAGACACTATATAGAATACTCTTTTCTATTGTATTGGATAATAGCTACTATAGAGGGTGTAAAGTGAGGGATTGCTCTCGTTCTACGAGGACCTTGAGTTATGTGTTCCGGGGAAGGGAGATAAAAGCTTATTTACTCTCCTTTACCCCTTCCCCGGAACACATAACTCAAGGAGCCCGAAGGGCGAGGGCAATCCCTCACTCTACCTCACCACCTGGAACTCTTTTGCTCAGCAAAAGAACGAGTATGGAGTTAGAGAGGGTTCCTTGGGGCAAGGGAACCTCTCTAACGAGTCCAGAAGAGGAGCTCATGGGCCATCAAAATGGCACAGGAGCGAGGAGAGGACAGGAAAGAGCGAAAAAGGAGTTACTGGGCCATCGAAATGGCACAGTAACGAGTAGAGGCTTTAGGCTGTCCTCTCTTCTCTCCCGGACTACTAATTGGTAGGGAGGGAAGAGAGATAAGACAGCCGTAAACCTCGTCTTTCGAGTGAGAGGGTCATGGGCATGGCACTCTCACGATTGTAGCTTCCCTTTTCTTTGTTTCCTTTCCTGGACTCCTCTTCTTCGACTAAAAACCATAACTCACCATTATATTATGCTGAACAAGATAGTAATGTTTCCAGTATGGAGCCGGCGTCGTTTCGGTCATGCGTGTCAGGATTTACCTGACGGGTATATGAAACAGATGGGTCGAACCCATCCCAAGTCAAAGCTCTCCTGATGTCATACCCCAACTAATGCCGTCTTGTCTAATAGTAGCTTGAGCCTTTAAGCTAGCAGCTAATATAGAAGAGTGAGAAGGGTGCTTTTGAGTTTATTGAATAAAGACTCTTTCACTTATCGATTAGCTGATTCCGCTACTAGTAGGTTCATTAGTCACTTATGTAATTAGAGACAATAACTTGTTTTTCAGTCTCGTTTGATAGGACTGGTACGGGTTAGCCCCGCAGGGGGTCCGCCGAAGGGGTCCGTCCGGAGAGAACCGAAGGTGAACGCAGGGGTCCGTCAAGCAAGAACGAATTCCTTCTAGTCTCTTTCGAGTCTAGGAAGGGGTCTATCCGGAGTTCCCCTGTTCCATCGGGGAACGCAGGGTTCCGAAAGCAAAAGCGATAACGATAGCTGTCTAGAAAAGGAGGGGGGAAGGAGATTCCTCGTTTTAAACAGTATCTAAAAGGTATAGAATGCACGATACCTACTATAACTGCTATTCTCTGAAGTTAAACTCGTAGTCGTAAAGGTAGTCCCCTATTCCGGACCGGCTACTCTTAAAGGTCCGGAATAGAATAGGGACTACTCCATAACTATCTGTTAAACTCGTACTTGGAAGTCCCCTATTCCTGACAAGGAATAGAGTAGGGACTTCACCTTAACTCTATGGTAGTTTCTTAAAGAGAAAAGTAGCTAAAACCAAGACAAGAAAAAAGACACTATATAGAATACTCTTTTCTATTGTATTGGATAATAGGCTACTATAGAGGGTGAAGGGGAAGGGGGGTAAAGGCTTATTTACTCTCCTTTATCTCTTTTCCGGAACACATAACTCAAGGTTATATATATATATACATGCACCACCTCTTTTGGCCTACTCAAACTCCCAATATTAAGTTTTTAATTTACTAGCTAAATACTCATCAACAGCTCTAGTTTGCTATTTTATATATATATATATATATGAAATATTATATTATAAATATTAAAATATATATGTTAAATTATTCGTATTTTAAAATTAATAAAATATTAAAAATATAATTTTTTAAAGAATATATCTATTTGGGTCGACCTGAAAGAATTGGGCTTTATCCTTTAGTTATCTGGATTTACTTAGACTCGACATTTGGATTGAGTTGCGCTCCAATATAAACGCGTAAAGTGCTGATAACATGTTTGGATTGGACTCGATACCACCCGGATCAGGCCGTCCGACACCTTTGGAAATTAGAAAAACAAGAGCGAATAAGAAGGCGGCAAGTAAATACTAAAGAGGGCCGCGTGGCAGAGAATCACTGCCACCAACGCCTCTCTCTCTCTCTCTCTCTCTATAAATCATAATAAATATCAAATCCAAAGCCCCGAATTTTTTTACTTCACAAATATTTTCTTCTTTAGCTTCATACCCTAATCCACTCATTTCCACCCCTTCAGGTACCTCTCTTTTCTCCTTTTTCATCGATTTTTCTTTTTCCGATTCAATTTTTACACCAAATTCTTTTCTTTTTTATTCTTATTTTAGATTTTTTACATTTTGATTTACTACTATTTGCTTCGCTTTTGATTCCCAAGAATATGATTTTATCCCCTATTTTTTTAATCCGATTATGTTTTTGGTGATGGATCGGTGTTTTCATCTCTCTTTCTCTTTTTTTTTTTTAATTTTTAAAATAAAATACAAATATATGTTATTAATTTAATCTCTGTTTTTTTTTTTTTTTTTATGTTGATAATATATGTTGTCCATGCCTTTGTTTGCTTGCCTAGAAAATCTGGAAAAAGATCATTAATTGCTCTTAATAGAGTCACTTAGCTCCGCTCCACATAAATAAATTGTAGTATTATACTATGTTGAATCCATCAAAATTTTAGACCTTTGAGTTTTTCTTATATAAAATTAAAAATTTTGTAATATTTGTTGTTCCACGGTTGACTATTAAAATAATTTATTAATGGAAAAGGATAGTTGGGTTACTATTAATTTAGATTCTTTATTATTGCATTTTTTCATATATGATTTTAATGCAGTTATCATCCAATTGTTTGTTGAAGACTTTAGAGAGTTTTTGAATGGCTTCAAAGCGGATTAACAAGGAGTTGAAGGATCTGCAGAAGGACCCTCCTGCTTCATGCAGTGCCGGTTTGTTTCCTTTATTCATTAAATTTCTTTACTTTTAAGTCAATTATGAATTTGGTGGAATTAATTAAACCTAGTGATTCATGTTCCTACGATCTATATGATTATTTTCTGCTTCATCCATTATATATTGTTGTTGATTGTTTAACTGAATCTCTTGGTGTTGGTAATTCAAGATGGTGTAAGTCTTTAGTGGCAAGTAGTAATACCACAAGTTGTTAGCTGTAATCTGTTTTTGCCATGAACGGGACAACTGGTTATTGTGTTTAGATACTGACAGGGTTTTGATTAATATTTCCAAAAACCCCTTAGAATGGCCAATATATGGAATAGAGAACATGGTCAGATTGCACCTTTTCATGAAAAATAATTTAATTGTTTCTTTAAAATAATACTGCATGTATACAGGCCCCGTTGCTGATGATATGTTCCACTGGCAAGCAACAATCATGGGCCCATCAGACAGTCCTTTTGCTGGAGGAGTCTTCCTTGTGGCCATTCACTTCCCCCCAGACTATCCGTTCAAGCCACCTAAGGTAAAAAAAAAAAAAAAGCATGTATTTCATCCAACTATTATGTGTCTGATTGACTGCCTATCAAGAAATCTCTTGTGCACATGTCATGGAATGCTTGGAAATGTTTCTCTTCTTCTCTTGCTAATCAGATCTGTTTTATTTTATATATAATTGAAACATCAGTATCATTTGGTTTGGATGGTTGGTGGTTGGGCTAAAGCTAGATTTTGTGTTATTATCACATGAAAGAGATTTAAATCTTTTCTGAGATAGCAGCTTTAACAAACAGAGAATACAGAGAAAAAAGAACACTGCTTCTGATTATAAAGGGGAGTGGATTTCTTTTTAGTATGCTAAAATAGTCCATATTTTTGTAACATTGGTTTAATTAAGAGTTTAAACGAATGTCTTGAACATGTATTAGCTAGCTTTTTTTTTTTTCTTTGTTGGAATTTGTTGCTGTCTTCTATGTGCCTGTGCTCTTGTTACTTAAAAATGTAGTCTATTACCTGCCATGTCTGCTTATTTTGGCAGAAGTTATACTTTTTCTATCTTAAGCTGAATTTATGGTATTTCCTTGTGAGATATATATATATATATATATATATATATTCTATTATATGCAAAAGTAGGTGATTCTTAGGATTCTATTTTACCTGATTGTAGTAATTATCTTCTGTAAAGGTTTCTTTCCGTACAAAGGTTTTCCATCCTAACATCAACAGCAATGGAAGCATCTGTCTTGACATTCTCAAGGAGCAGTGGAGCCCTGCCCTTACCATATCCAAGGTAATACACTTAATATAATTCCCATTATGTAATCTGCATGAATCATAGATGGACACCATGTTCATCATTGATTAACATAATTCCAATCCTAACAAAGCCCTTGAATATTATTATATTCTCACATGCATAACCTTTTAATTAGCTGTAACTGTCTGTTTTGTAGGTTCTTCTGTCAATATGCTCACTTCTTACAGACCCAAATCCCGATGACCCTCTGGTGCCTGAGATTGCTCACATGTACAAGACTGATAGAGCTAAATATGAGAGCACTGCCCGCTCGTGGACCCAGAAATATGCAATGAATTAAGGGTCTGCCACGATGTCATGTTTGATCGCTATATTAGTAAATAATAGAAATAACATTGTCTGGATATTAGAGAAAACACCTTTGAGAAGTTTGTTGTTGTTTCTGTGGATTTGAAAGGGTTATTTATAAACTGAAACAGGTCCTCTAAAAGCTGGTTATATAGATGAAACAATATTTATGCTAAATTGACGTGTTTGCTATTGCAATTGAATTTATGGCCTAAACCTGAAGGGTTAGATTTTTCGTGATCCTAAACCCTCTTAAGTTCTCAAACAGTAATTGGTTGTGGGATGGCATAATTTATGGACGAGGTGTATTTTTTTTTTTTTTTTGGGTTAATGGGTTAAGTAACATAAGCAAAAGTGAAAGAAACTTTACTATGTTGATAATCAGGGAGAATTGATAGAAATCGGAAGGGCACAAGCACAACCAGTTAAAAGTGCTGAAGCAGAGGGGTAAATAAGGTCTTCGTCAAGAACTGTCTGTTAACACCAAGCATTGGCTTAAGCTGGCGCGGTTTGAATCTTTTGGGATGGATCATGGACATAGAAATTTTGTTACCCCCACCCCCATCCCCCAGCCTGGATCAAAGTTACATTACTTCTTACTCCTGAGCGTTCCGAGGCAGGCTTAAGAATTGGGATTGATTTTCCAATTAAGGCCCAATGGTAGGGCTGGATTGGGTTTTGTTCGGCCTGTAACCTAAGTGAGTGATCTGCAGATATCTTTCTTTTGTTTTGTTTTTGTTTTTGTTTTTTTTTTTTTTGAATAAATTTATTAACTTAATTGGTGTGACCAGTTGCAAAAATTTGGTCGTAATAGTGAAAAACTCGAGTTGAATTGAAGTTGAAGGAGCGGAGACTGAAAATGACGGACTATAAGGAGGAAGGAGTAAGTGAGGGTTAAAGTTCTATGCTATAAATTTTACCTTGTAGGCATAAAAGAAAAAAAAAAAAAAAAACCACCCAGCATTAAGAAATGGCCGAACGGGCGACCCTCAGTCCTCAGTGCTCAGTCCTCAGCCCTCAGCAATTGGTATGACTGACACCTCCAACACCTCTCATGGTGTTTGCATGTATCTCCTCATTTTGCTTGAATTGTGTAATATCATTATGTGTTGCCATTTCTGTAGCCCGTTTCCTTCTCCAAGGCGGCACCACCGGGGCGGGGATTCATTTTCATTCCCTGATATGAATTTCTCCTTCTCCATCTGCATCTTCAATTCTATTCTAATTTAATTTCTCAACTAGACCAGCTAGTATAATGCTAACAGCCACATGCACGATGGATGCAACCAACAGCTTTATGAGAGAGAAAATAAGGGGAGGCATGCATATGCATGGAATCATATATAGAAGTAATTAACTTCTTCACTTAAAATAATAACCAAGTAATTTTGACTTGAGGTATATTATCTTGTCATCTAAAAAAGACCGTGGGTTGGATGCGGTGTCGGTACAAAAAAATTAATTTAATGTTGTTTAATTCGCACAAATTGAACCTATATTGCACTATCGTAAGTATCACACAAACATCAATTTTGTCTAATTCCTTAATTTCTTTTTTTTTTTTTTTTTTTGGGTGTGAAGACGGAACTATCATAACTTAATAAATAATACGAAACACGACAAAGTCAGCTACATCCTCCTGCAGCAGTGAATGAACAAAAGAGGGAGGTTCTTGAAACTTAATATAACAGACCTCATTACACATCATACTATTACATAAGGTTCTACTTCCAAAACACGCGAGAGCATCATCACATCTATTGCCTTCCCTGAAAACATGTTTCATCCGCTGTTGGTTAAAGGCATCTATAAGATTCTGGCAATCAGAGATCAATGGCAGTAGAAGTGGATTAGGAGGAGATTGACTTTTAATCATAGAAATGATAACAGAAGCATCCAGGTCAATATCAAGTTTCTTAATATTGAGATGTTGAGCCAACAACAGTCCATCCCTTAGAGCCCACAGCTCAGCAAGAATGTTCGTGGCAACTCCAATAAATCTAGATGACCCAACGACCCATTTTCCTTCATGGTTACGGATGACAGCTCCAGCTCCAGCTTTGCCTGGGTTTCCCATCGATGAACCATCTGTATTGAGTTTGTACCAGCCTGCATCAGGTGGATTCCAACGAATAGGAATAAAAGAAGACATGTTTGCTCTTATAGGTTTTTGGTTCATGGCAAAGTATTCGGCCACTCTTTCGTTCGCTCTTCGAACGATGTTATCCTCAACTCTCTGACCCTTAAAGACACGATGGTTCCTTTCAAGCAAGATCTCCCACAAAATGTGCATGAACATCAGGCCCCATGGGATACCATGAAGGCTTGATCTGTTCTTGCAATTAACATTTCTTTTGATCCACTCCTTAAAACTGATTTGGGGAGAATGGAGATTTAAGACATCTTGTTAATTCACCCATTAACTTTTGACACATTTGACAGTCCTTGAAGAGGTGCTGGATATCCTCTGGTTCACAGTTGCACCACACACATTCTTCTTGTATATTCAAGCCTCTTTTCCTTAAGAACGTTTTAGTAGGCAAAATTTCGTACATACATTCCCAAATGAAAATTTTGAGTTTCGGAAGGAATTTGAGTTTCCAAAACCATGCCCATTTGACATTAGTTGGTTTTTTTGAGTCTCCTTTCACAAGTTTGTAAGCAGATTTAAGGGTGAACGAGTCTGTATCAGAGGCTGTCCTACAGGAGAAATCAGTCTCCTGACCACAAAGTTGCATTGGCATTGCTCTAATGGTCTCCATAACCATTTGAGGGAGGATGAACGAGATGGTGGCGTCATGTTGGCACTGTAGACTAGTCAGAACTTGTCTAACGTCCACATTGCTATCATGCTTGTTTAATGGTCCTTGGATCATGGACCTAATGCTACCAATCCCGGTCCAATTATCATGCCAAAACCTCGTAAAGGTCCCATCTCATACGATCCAACCAAGCCCTTTTTCTACAATAGGCCCAGACCATTTCATAGCTTTCCAAAGTCACTGATGCTGTAGCTGGATCTATCCCTTGGCTTCTCTGGTTTAAGTATTTTGCTTTCAACGTTTGAACCCATAGAGATTCGCTTTGATGCATGAATCTCCAAGCAAGTTTTGTTAGTTGTGCTTGGCTCTAAACCCTAGCCTCTTTCAACCCTAAACCACCCTCATGTTTGCTTAAAGTAACTACACTCCAAATTAAGAGGTGTACTCTTTTCCTTTGTTCCATGTCACCCCAAAGAAAGTTTTTGTTGGTACGATCCAACTCATTGCAAATGCTAGCTGGGAGCTTTCGACATTGCATAAAATACGTGGGAATGGATTCGGTAACCGATTTAATCAAGGTCAGCCGTCCTGCAGTTGAGAGGAGGTTCACTTTCCACCCAGCTAACTTCCTTCGGATCTTTTCCACTATGAAAGAGTAATCCCATTTGGTAACTCTGCTCTTATTTAGAGGAAATCCCAAATACTTCCCAGGATTATTTGTTTCTTTGATTCCCAATACAGTGCCAATGATATGCCTTTGATCCTGGTTAGTGTTTGGTGAAAAGTAGACCCACGATTTTTCAAGGTTAATGCTTTGCCTCGATTCCGTGCAAAAATTTGTCAGCACCTCTCTCATAGCCCCTGGAGTCTTACTATCCGCCCTACCAAATAATATGACATCATCCGCAAATAAAATGTGCGAGAGAGTTGGACCATTTCTGGAAGTTTTACTAGCCATCCATTTCTTCTCATCACATGATTCAAGAATGTGAAAGCCCAAAAATTCCATGCACATTATATACAAGTGGGGGGATAAACGGCTCCCTTGTCTTAAAACTCTAGAAGGCGCCAGTTTTTTGAGCAAACCTCCATTCAACATAATCGAAATAGTTGAGGAGGAAATACAGCTCATAATAAGAGTTATAAGAGGTTGGGGAATATTAAAGAAAGTTAGGACTTTCCTCATAAAGCTCCATTACAAACGGTCATAAGCCTTCTCAAGATCCAACTTGATGGCCATTTGCCCCATTTTCCCTTTCTTCCTCATAAAAGAATGCAACATTTCTTGGACTATAACACAATTGTCACACCCATTACGACCTTAATTTCTTTAGTTTGAGAGTTGTTCTCAATTGATTTTGCCTCCTGGAATAATCAAGAATAATCAAAGCTATGAATTTTTTTTATTAGTTATCTTTTATTGAAAATTAAGGTATGTGAGAATGAAGACCTTTGTTTACAGTTACAGCTACCAGGCACGGAAACAGATCGATAGTCACAGACAAAAGAATCACTTTCATTTACGGATTTCCAATTCAATTATTTTGCAACAATTTATTACTCCACATAGTAAGTGGATGAAAAAAGTCTCCCTATGTACTTGTACATAGAGAGTGTGTCAGTGTGTGAGTGAAAAAAAAAAAGGCTTTTTAATCCAATGAGAGAAAAGAGAGAGATAGAAGGATCTTTGCATTTGTCGCTTTCTCGATCGGAATGTCTTCAGCCATCGCCAACATTACTCCTTAAGACAACATGTTGACATACATACAGATAAAATACAGTCCTTTCCCTTAATTGCAGCCAGACCAAAAAGTTAACTTATACATGCTAAAAGAGAAGATGGAGAAGACAATACTACTCTTCTTCATTCAATATTCATTCTTTTCAGTAGTTAGTTTTCAGTTTGTAAACATGATAGCAGAGAAGGCATGCAGGTATTGATGGCTTGACTGACAGGGACTATTAACTGTACAACTTTCTTGGTTTTGGCAATGGAAGTTTGGGGCGTCAGGTCTTTGTCTTCTTGAGAGTGACTTCCCTGTCGACTATCGATGCTCCCTCCACAACCAGCCAGCCCTTGGGTTTTTTTTTTTTTTTTTTTTGTTTCTTGTTTGCACCTCGAGACATCAGATCAGAATCAATTCACCCTATCTCTGCCTCAGCCCAAAAGCATAATTCCAACTTTGGACTCTACCTGCCAAAATATCACTCTCTCTGTCTCTTTCTAGTTACTTGGATTAATTTCCTCTTTATTTGATCATTTCTACTTAGCTATTCAAATTCATTAACCTACCTAGCTAGACAAACTAAACTTAGGATGGGTTAACTTACTAGATAATACTAAAAGAATCTAAGTTACAAATTACATGCTCACTTTTTATTGTAATTAACTTGAAAAACTAAAATAAAAGTGTCATTAAGAAAAAGCATACATTTCTGTAATACTTTAGTCTAAATAATAATTGGGTTAGATTAATA